GAGCACCTGCACCTTTATATTGTGATATTACAACTTAAGCACGAGCTCTGAGTTAGTCTTCTGTCAGTCAGGGGAACACGACACTTGAAGAGTTTGTAATAATTGAAAACATTATCAGTGGATCTATAATGAAAACAAATGTTAGTTGCAGCCTGACATGTCAAATAATTATCTCAGTTTATCAGCTGTTTTTGTAACGAGCTAAAGATTTTCAATGTATTTTTTCTTATCTCAATTCAAGAGTGTGTTCTTTCATGTTTAAGAGTCCGACTCTAATTAAAGTTGAAGAATGTAATAGCTCCATCAGAATAAAATACAGATTTGAAGCTGCTTGGCTGATCAGAGCTGCCAGAAAGAGACGCTGTGAGAATTAAAGCGTCTGCATTGAGGAAGTGATGATTTAATTGGTCGGCTTCATGACTTGAGTTCGATTGGTTAGTTCCTGAGCGTGCAGATGAAGCCAGAGTGTGCAGCTCTCACAGCTTTAACCTGGAGCGAAACAAACACACAACAGAGCAGCAACTATTTAGAAAGTGGGCTGAGCAATAATCCAAAACACAATCAAACCGCAGGCTCTTGAACGAAGCTTAGAAATAGACTCACTCTAATGGAGGAGCTGCACTTATTTCATTTTGAAAGAGTTTGTTACAGTTTGTTTTACAGTCGGCTCATGTCGGACAGTTTTTGTACAGTGTGTGTGTGTGTGTGTGTGTGTCCACGTTCAAGTGTAGCACTCTGTAAAGTATTTTTAGTAATCACAACCAGCCAGTCACCGGCCTCCCCGTGCATTTAGGATATCTGCGTCTCTATTGTGTATGCGCATATTGTGAGGAGTGTGCTCTCCGAGTCAGAAAAAAAGCCATCGATGCAGTCTTCAGAAGTAGCACATCATTAATAACGGAGGGACCTTTGAAGATCCTGCATAAATGTCTAATTAGGTTTGGTAACCTTTAGGAAACTCAAGTGGGTGAATACTAAACAGTCCTGCAGACCTTGTGCTGCATGGCAAACTAAGCACTCAACATGTGGGAGAGAGCGTTGACATTGAGGAGGTTTGTTCCCCGGCCTGAAAGGGCACGCAATTTAAGTCACATTACATGCACGTCTGAACTCACCGGCCAATTTCGGGCCAATTTATTGTCGTTAACCATCCTGTGTGTACGCGTCATCACGGAGGTGGAACAAGCACGTGCCGTGATATTTCTTTCTTTTTTTTTAATATACTGTATATTTCGGGGGTTGCCCTTCAAGCTGCGTGATGAGCCTGCGTGGCGTTAATTAGACCCTGAAAGGCCGATTTATTTTCCTGTGTTGAGTCGAGGACGTGTGCCTCCTCCATGTTAGTGTTCATGGGCCAAACCAAAAAAGTCGACTTCTCAAATTAGATTTTTCTCAAAGATGGTTTCTGTCAAGTTTGTCAGTAGGAGTACCTGTGCCAAAGGAAGTTGTTTGTTTGTTTAACAGTTTAACAGGATTATGTTAAAACTACAGGACAGATACCATGAAACGTTCTGGGTGAGGAAAGAACCCGTTAAGTTTTAGTGTGGAACAGATGTAAGATCCAGGGATTTTGTTTTTCCACTGCAAGATAGAGCATTCAACATTTATTTTTTCTCAAAGAGTAATTCAGTGATCTTGTTGAAAACAAAATCTTGTTTAGGGGACTGATATTTATCTGTGAGTGCAATTTGGTGCATGTCTAAATACAAAATCTGGATTATAGTGAATTTAAATGTGCTTTCAAAATGGGACCGTTGGGCTTTGGCAGATTTCTCGACTCTGAATATCCTTGTAATTAGTTATTTGATGGGTTTGATAGTTGCAATCATAACCCCCTCTGACATCCTGAGTGACAGTAACAGTGACACAGGCAAAAAATATTAAAGCTCGTGATGACGTAGCCATCTGCGTAGTCTTTGCGTAGATCCTACCCAGTGAGAATAAACCAGGCTTAAGTCTGAGTATTCAATCCACCAGCCGTGTTTGTACTGAAATAGCGTAAGACGGATGTGACCTAGAAAATACCACAGAGAAAGACTGGTTTGCGCTACAGTGTCCTTGTCTTCGTTTAATAACACATGCATTAGCAGATGACAGCGTACAACAATAAAAATACCAGCGTGCTGAGTATCCAGCTGTCACAGTGCTGCAGGTAGTTAAGCTTCTTTCTTTAGCTGCCGCAGGAATCCCAGGCTACAACGCTGCTGTCTCACTGTGAGTCTGTTTTTGTTTAATGACAGATTTTCTCTAGAATTCAGCAAAAAAGAAAGACTCAAATAAGTGGAAGCAATTGGGATGGATGTGCTGCGTGTAGGCACCTAAAAACATGAAAATTGACTAATTGCAGTGTATTATATTCCATTTGAAGTGGGTAAGTGATCGGCATAATAACCCCTGGAGCGCCCTGCATGCAAATTGAATGAAAATGGTTTAAAAACGCTGCTGTGACATATGAAATACTGACAAATGATGGTTTTTAGTTGGATCCTAACCTGGAAATAACAACACTGGTACTTGAAGGTCACACGTGTTGTGATTATAATAAAAATACAACAAAGAAAAGGAAAATAAAGCCAAAACCAGCTTCTGATTTAAGAGCAAAGTCAGGTTCCAACACTAATATAAATATGTTACATGTTGAGGTCACTGCAGCTCGACGTGGAGCTTTATATTTCATATTTTTGTGAGTACTATCATCATAAACAGATTTAAAGCTGCACATATTTTCTAAAAATAAACCCAGACCGGTCATGAAGCTTTACCTCAAGCTCCTCGCTGTAAAGTAGCATAAACATACACATCCCAAGACACACATCACAGACATATGCACTCAAAGATATTTATTATACACACACACACACAGAGAGAGAGTTGTCAGGGCACGGTGTAAAATCAGAGGGGCTGTTAATGGAGGCGGACAGCTTGGCTGCTGTTTCATCAAAGTGCAGAGGAAATGCAGATCTGTGTCCTGCAGGATGCAGGGAATTGGAATAGCTTCCTTCTGTCTGCTGAATTTGAAACATACCAGCGGGGATTAGACCGCCTTTACCGCTGTACAGTGACTTCCTAATGGCCGTCCACGGGAAATATTTACCCGCTGCCTCGCATGTGTTGACTCTGCCCTTAGGAGCACAAACGAGTCCCCCGGTCGGAGAGCTTTATTTAGCCGCCGAGCTACGAGGCAACGCTGAGGATAGTTTCATAATTTGATTGATTTAAGCAGCTCTGACTTTTCTTCTAATTGTGTTATATGATAACAGCAGTAATACTGAGTAATGAACGTAGATTTCACATACACTGTATATTCCTTTGTAGAAACTTTTTCAATGAATGAATCACTTAACAGTCTCTTAATGGAATTCAATTAATAGTTTAATAATTTACTGGGCCTTCTTTAAGAGCTCACAACTAAATATTTCTTGGCTTTTCATGATTTTATGGTTATTGTCCCCGACAAAAAAGGAAAGTTCTGTTGGAAATCAGGTAGATTAGAGCTTTTCTGCTTGTTTTACTCTCTGGAACTTGTTGTACTTTGATTGTGACAAAAGAGTTACGCATATTTTTTTAATTTAAAATCTTTTGCCTGATGTTTTAAATTAAATTCAAGATTCATTTGATTCATTTGTCACATGTTTGTGCAGTTTAATACTTAAAACATCAACTAAACTGCATCTGGATATTATAATTCCAATCTTCTTGTCTATTCAATGCTAGGTTTGCAGTACTTTAAGTATATTTAAGTATAAGTTTGATATCAATTGTAATTTTTCCAATTCTCTACAAAAGGAGAACCCATTAATTTCATATAGAACACTGTTCTTAATATATTTTTATGAACAGGAGAAAACCAGATGAAATGTTCTTGATTAAACTACTCAGACGTTTCAATAATGTATTTTACATTAACATCCTGATCCACCATTTTCCTGCCAGATGGTTACTTGTTTCATTTCAATCAAGGTTTAATTTAAACCTGTAATTACCTGAAGCTTGACTTTAAAGCAGCACCTCTTTAGTGTGCGAGACGACAACGGAAGCTAGTTTGACTTGGCGCCATCGCAGGTGTCAAAACAAGCTATTTACTGAGACTAAGTGCTGGAGCAGTTCCATCACAGAGCAGCAACAGTCCAGATGTTTTGTCATTAGGTATCAAGGCAGTGCAGCTCATCTCCAGCTCTCAACAAGGCCGGAGTTTTTACTGTAGCGTTTAATGAATCACTCTAAGGCCGATGTTATTTTAGGAGAACCCACATCGGCCCTCGGGAACCATATATGCAATTTTATCACGTCCCACGATCTGTCAGCGGCATCTTTCCGCTTCAAGGTGAAGGTCAGGGAGAGGAACGTCAATTATGTTCTCTGTGAATTACATTCCATCAGGTGAAGACACAAATACAGAGTTTTACAAATTAATATCATCAACAACCACCTGAAACCGAGAACGACGACGAGAAGGTGTCAGCTGGTTTTCTCGTACTGACGGAGCCCGGGGTCCTCGGAGGCCTCTAATTTTCTGAGTGAACGGTCCCAGAAAGAGCTAATGATATGTTAATGCTGAATGGCAGACATTAGGGAGGGCAAATGACGGCAATCCCAATTACCTCCGAGGGACGTGGGGCCTGGTGCGGTTCTGTCACGCAAACAAACTCTGTAAATACAAACATGTGGAACGGTGGCGGAGAGGACTCAGGGGTGGCTGACAAAATGTCACGGATCTGAGAGAAGAATCAAGGAACTGAAGACCATGCAGCTCATACTTGAACAATGACTACGCCTCCGCACTTTGTTTAGCAGCGGAGAGAGAGAAGGAAAAAAATTAACTGCACCTCACTGCGAGGGATTTACATCTTTCCTTTCCTGTGAGAACAATTATCTCTCGGAAAATGCCACAAAACTCACACAAGTCTTTCAAAAATATTGCCGCTAACTTTTTGATTGTTCCCTTTGTTTGTCCTTTCGTAACTTCTCCGCCACTGATGCAGACTCCAGTTTGGCAGGCGTGCGGGGATATCGCTGTGTTTACTTCAGCAGCAGACGCCGTGTGGGGTGGAGGCAGTGGGAGGAGGTGAGTTGTGAATGGCATAAGATTGAAATATGCTGCAACAGCTTTCCCACTTGTACATACTGTATCCCCCTGTGTGGTTTTACCTGTATCTGTTAGCATGTACGTGTTCCTGTTTGGCCAGGCTTAGCTGCAGATTGCTTTTCTCCACATTCCTTCCTCTATGCAGCATATGGCCATTGTGATGGAGGGTAAAAGGAAATGACAGGCCATTTGAAGATGCTCTAGTCCCCGCGTCATGAATAATGCAGAGGGTGCAGCGAGCAGGTTCTCAGCGCAAGCTTCAAAGTTTATCGGCCTCCCCTGTCTCCCCGGGAGAGAGACTACAGTGCTGCGGGGAGATTAGACCGACACTGAGCAGGGACCTGGTCAAACTCAATTAAATACAACCAGGATAATTCCATCCTCTCATTGTGCCATTCGGTTTTATTAGAAAAATAAACCCGGCATGCTCACACCTTGAAATGACAATGGCGAAGGAAAACAGCAGATGAATTATTAAGCAGCGGACTCGGCTGTTTTCGCAGTTGCTTCATGTAAAAATATGCAAATGGGCGGATGTCAGAAGAAATGATCGATGAATATTTTCATTAATTACGTCGGACAAACACCGAGATCAGAAATGAATCTTCCACAGAGGGGTCGAACTTTTAAAGATTTTAAAATGCACAGAAGTGGTGCTCACCCTCTGCTGATAATGATGGTAATGGTCCCAATGATAGATGATTGATTAGTCATCCTCATTTAAATATATGATTCACTTGAAAAACCCTCCTACAGTAAATCTTGTTGGTTTAAACACGCATGTTTCTTTTTTTTTTTTTACAGTTTCCGGAGTCTTTCGAGATCTAATTATCCCTGAAGCTGCTCCTGACGGCACATGTAAGCCCACAGAAACACCCCCTCCTCTGCGGCCTGTTGTTGCATGTAACTACTTTCCATGTCTACATGATCAACAAACACTTACGCCACCCACACATTCAGAGCTACATCACGCCCTGCTCGGTTAATGATGATAAACCTACGTAAGAGCACAAACTGTAGCTAATTAGGTCTATGTCGATTATGGCTCATTAATGCTGATGTTGCCCTGACATGTTTTTGCCAATCATCTGTGGAGATTTCTTCACTGTATCATTTTCTTATCACTGTAATTCATCATTGTAGTGACGCTCCAGGTGGTTCAACGTTTATGTTGGAGAAATGAAGGAAAACCGTGTGAAAACTCTTTCTGCTTCCATTTCGAGACTTTGCTCCCAAATATTTTCTTCTTCCACTTTCAAAAGCAAAAGAAATTCAATGATGTAATAAGGTCGTACTTTCGTCTTTCAAAGAGCAATCTCTCGATAGGGTTGAAGTGGAGAAATAAACCGGAATGAAATAAAATAAATGGGCCCTTTTTAGGTTTTCGTTATAATCTAAATTTAATTATAACTTGACTGAGAAACAGTGAAGCTGAAATCTTTCCATGCATCATTTAAAGGTGCGGTATGAAGTTTTCTTGCTGGGAGCGGGTCAGTCGAAGAGAACTAAGTTAACTAAGCCGTTACTTTCCACAGCTGGAGTCGGCTCGATGCGTAAAGAGGTTGAGTTTGATGCTAAAGTAGCATTAGATTGGTAAATAAACAGCTGCACTCGAACTCTTTAAAGCAGCACTGTGTAACTTTACACGTGTCTTCATCTACGTATCTTTGGCGAGGTGGTACGATCTCCTGTGTGAAGTGTGGAGCTGAAGCTTCTCCTAACATTCTCCAGTTAGCTCGGTTGTTGCGTAGTAATTACCTCTGAGTGCTGTGAGAAGACAGCAGGAGATTATCCGGAGTGAAAGCGCACATTGACGATGTTTCTTACACGCGATAGAGGACGCTGATGAAGATGTCAACATTTTAGGAAGCAGGGGATCATGGGTATTATCCACAATGGGCATAGTTTTTTTTTCTTCTTTCTTCTACATGTAAAACCACTTAATTGCTCGGCCACGTAGCCCGACGGAATCAATCTTCACGTATGGCAGCAGAGGGCGCTGCTGCTCGGGAACAGTTACTCAGTGTTGCCTGAAAGATTGTTTACCGACGGTGTGTGAAGCTGTTTCATTGTGCAGGTGAATTTGTATGAAGCTGTGTGGAAACCTGTCGTGTTGTTGACCTTTCTGAGACGAGCAGATCGACAGCCTCTGCTTAACCTGATGATCAAATTCAACATTTATTTCTCTTCTTCTCGGCCCTTTTCCAACGTCCCACTTCGTCTGGATATATTGACGCATCAATGACGGATCAATTTCGAGTTATTTTCCAGTTATTTTCCTAAATTTCTCCTCTTTTACACCCTATTACCCTAATCGCACCACTTTGACCTACTTTTCCACTCCTCTGGTTCCCCAGGCGCTGCAGCTGTTGCTGCACACCCACTCACACACACATACCTCTCAAGAGAATTATTTATATTGCCCAGGTCTGGGACCAGTCTAATTCTGGTGGAACTATAGAGTACACAAACCTAAGGTCTGACATTTCTCTTGCTGGAGGCAGGCGAGCTGAAAGTGCTGCTGAGAGAGACAGAGAATAAAACATGCTGCTGCGATGGCCTTTGATCTTCCTTTCCCTCCTTTTCTCTTTTTCAAAGGACCAGTGAGGAGTCGTCCAGCCGATGCCGCAGCAGGGGCCCCGTCTCTCCGCCACCAACAGGCACCCCAGGACGGACGACCAGAGGATTATTTATTTTTATTTTTGTTCTGTGCAAGAGAAGAAAACGGAGACAGACTTTCTTTGGAGTCTTGTTCCATGCTGGTTAATCGTAGAAATAAATATTCACCTCAATGCATAAATATGCGAGGACTTAGTCCCCAGTTGGCTCAGAGCTGAGCTTGTTTCTCGGCTCATTTCTCAGCCACAGCGCGAGATGGAAGAACATCATGCTCTTCAGGTGGATTTCTGAAACCCTGACTGAAATATATAAATACAAGTAGTGATTCTCATCATCGAAACATCATTTCTGAAACATGTATCGCTACGGAAACAGAGTTAATTGATGACGATATATTGAGTTAGTAGAAATATCACTCAGGCTTTATTTATATTAATTTTCAAAAACACAAAATCATTTGTTTGCCTGAGGTTTTTGGTGTTAGATGAAATTTGAACATGTAGAAACCAGGATTTCATGAGAGTCGACCTTGACCAATTTTTTTTACACCTTAATACCTACAGTCAATTATTTTCATGATTAACTATAGATCTGCTAACTGCATTTATATGATGCATTATACTCTGGCACAAACCAAACCATCATATATATATATCAACAATGATTTTAAAGAAATGATGCTGTTAATTACATGAAAGTACAAACACGGCTGCCGTTAACTTTAATAGAGAAGAGTAATTACATGATAAACACTCTCAGACACCGTCGGTTGCATGTGCGGCCAAAAGGCGACTGCAGAGAATGATTTCTCTAACGAGCGGCCAGGAGGTCAGACTCTATCAGCAGTGTTCCAGAGGACAATCTGAGGAGAAGCGTGTTCGTGATCATCTCACTGAGAGTCTCTTTGTCAGGGCAATTTGTTGATGATGCATGGTTATGATAAGAATTGAGTGAAGTGTCTGCAGTCCGCCCGGGGGCCTCCCTCTCCGAGGCGCCGGGGCCAACACGAATAATCAACCCAGGTCCAGATTGAGCCCCTGATAGCAGAGGATTCCCTGATTGCTTATTAAGTTCCCCCCCGGGCGCCAGGCGTTCAAGACACTCGCTGCTGATTTTGATTGATAGCTGGTCAATCAAAATCAACATCTGCTCGTATCAGCAGAGTTTACATCACATCTCTGCATCTCCTGAGATAACAGAGATCTCATGAACCCTGTGTGTAAGGTACAGAGTGTATCTTGCTATATGATCACTGAAACCAATCCTGGGTTAACTCGCCTTCCGTCTTCATAAAACTCTGCAGAGCGGTTTGAGGAGGAATCTCTTTGAGTTACAACTTTTCTAGTTTAAGAAGTTTTCAAGTGAGACGTAATGTCACTTTTGAAACTTTACAGTAGTTCACATTTTAAAGATGAGCTTTCTACTGTAAGTTTTAAAACAAGATGGTAACTTTGAATGACTTCTCAGTGGTATTTAGGGTTAGGGTCAGGTTGTGTTTAAAGTTGTGTTTAGGGTTGTGTTTAGGCTCAGGATGTGTTTAAAGTTGTGTTCAGGGTTGTGTTTAGGGTCAGGTTGTGTTTAAAGTTGTGTTTAGGGTCAGGTTGTGTTTAAAGTTGTATTTAGTGTTGTGTTTATGGTCGGGCCTTGTTTAAAGTTGTGTTTAGGGTCAGGTTGTGTTTAAAGTTGTATTTAGTGTTGTGTTTATGGTCGGGCCTTGTTTAAAGTTGTGTTTAGGGTCAGGTTGTGTTTAAAGGTGTAGTTAGTTATGTGTTTAGGGTCGGGCCTTGTTTAAAGTTGTATTTAGGGTTGTGTTTAGGGTCGGGCCTTGTTTAAAGTTGTGTTTAGGGTTGTGTTTAAAGGTGTAGTTAGTGTTGTGTTTAGAGTTGTTTTAAGGGTTAGGGTCTATGTTTGGGTTACGTTTAGGGTTGACTGGTCGACTGCTGATATTCACCAAAACCCTCCTGTTTGCTGCGTCCAGCTCTAACAACTGACACTTGTAGTTGTAAAAGAGGCCTCACGTACGCTGACCCATTAAGTTTTGAGAAAAGACTCTGGACCTCATGTTTGTTAAATGCCCCGTAATGAGAACACACAGAATCACTTCAAAGTCTCCGATGTTTTGTCTTTGCGTGGTTCAAAGCCATGAAAACTGTGTCAATACCTGTAAGGAGACGCCATATTTACCAAGCAAAGACGCATAACGAGGTCCTTGCAATCTCTTGCATCACTGAGAATCTCTGAGTGCCGTCGAAATGCAGCGACAGCAAGAGACACAGGTCGTCTACTTTTTACCTAAACTTAAAACTAAACCTTCTCTGACACAGATCACAGTCGTCTCCCAACAAATATCATTTTACTTCTTGTGTGCGGACTCTTTCACGGCACAGACAGTTGATCAAACAACACTAGAGAACATTTTGTCTTAAGACATTGAAATCCGTTATTTTAACAACTTAAGAACAGTATTTACCAGATTTTTCAAAATTTGAAACTTTCAAATCTCTACACAGATTAAAGTTAAACTTTTCCGAGACCTGGAGCAATTTGTATTATGTCATATGGATAACTGCACTATGTGCTACTACTAACAAACATTTATTTAACACTGACAAGTAGAAGATTCACTGTAATACTTAAGTAATACTTAATTCAATAAAAACTTGCAATTACATGTAGAGTACACAAGTTTGATTTTAAGAGTGATGCTGCTAATGTTGTAGTTGATATTCTTCTTATACACATTTAGTTGTTTGTAAGTAAAATTAAGACTTTTTCAAACAACAAATACAAAAAAAGTCATCGTGAAACAAATACAAATTTAAAATGTGATTCAGAAAGTGAATTTTGGAGTTTTGATCTCTGAAGTCTTAATATTGAAAATGTTTTTTTCATTCCTCACTGTGTACATGTTGCTTTGTGAGTCATCACAACACGCGGTGTTCTCACCCACCTTTGTTTGAGTTCTCGATGCAGCGCGGGATAAACTGTGAAAACGTCCTCAGATGGCTGATGGTGAGCCTCAAAGTCATCACACATGCCTCTGCGGAGCGTCAGCGCTTTGTCTCCATCAGGCCTTTCAACTACAAAAGCCTCATCAAAAAGAAATATGAAAAAAAGAAAATGATTTTCTCTCCTCCTCCCATTCCAACCCCCTCACTGGTTCCTTGAGTCGAGAACAAAGCAGCGTGTTTATAAACCATCGATCATTACTGTCAGATGCTGCTCGTAGTATATGGTCAGAAATAACCTCTTTATTTACTTACCTCTGTGTTCAGGGTTCGGACGGGACTCAAAGAAAGGCCTTCCCTCTTTTAAGGAACTGAATGTCAATTTTATTTTCAGGAAAAGGATAAAAACATCATTTGCACATTTCTGCCTTGTCAAAATAAATAATAACACATATCGGTTGTACATGTCCACACCCAATTTCAACAGAATTCATTTAGGCTAGAAAAGAAACGGCACAACATGATTATCATACAGTGTGTCCTCTCTCCCCAGTGAACATTATCGGTTTCATCTCTGAATGACAATATATGTTACTACAGAAGCAAAATTCATTTACTTACAAACTGCGACTTCACCCGGGTGAGGACGGAAACAATGTTTGTTTTTTTCTAGAGTCGAGGTGGCATGAATTTTGCAATCAAGCACGAACCCCCCTCCCCACCCCCCCACCCCCACCCCACACACCTCCTACAAAAGCAGAAATCATACATTGGCAATAGAAAGAAGAAAAAACAGACTCTAGACAAACACTACATTGCAATATCTGCAAAATGTATTGTTAGGAGAATAAGAGAAATCAAATGCTTTCCTGTTTCGCCCGGCGGAGACATCAATCTGACAAAGAGTCTCCTTTTTATGATTTGCACAACGTCTGTCTTCACATCACTTCGTTAGCACATCTACTACTTGTTTATACTTTATGTTGCACTTTTCGTACAGAGGTATGACTGAGTCCAGGAGTAATGTGTCTGAAAACAGCCCCTCGTTACCCTGCCCCACCAAAACAAATGTAAAAAAAACATAGAAATCATTGTGAAATATCATAATGAACAGTCAGGGGACTAGTGATCAGTCACCCGGGACATTTCATGACTAACTTCTATGTTTTTCTTTTTCTTTTTTAAGCACAAAGATAGCAAAGGAATGCATCAAAGCAAGAGTGCTGGGCCCCGCGCCCGTCGCTGGAATGAAAGGACAGGTGCCTCCTCATATAAATACTCCAACATGTATGCATTCTGCAGTCAGTGGTTGGACTCCGGCCCGAAATCTGAAATCTTCAATGTCTTTTGCACACAGCGTTTCCTCCGCACTCGAGCCACTTTTGAAGTCTGTGTCAAACCGCACCACGTCTCAAAGTCCGTAGAGGGAGGTAAACAAACCAAAAACCTTTGAAGTGTTGACCTCTCAGTCTCTCTCTCTGTTTTGTCTTTGAATCTTTTCCTCCGGCGCGCTAAGGCAGACAAATATTTTCTCCGACAATAAATTACTCTTATTTAAATGTTAAGAGAGACATTTAAGGGCTATGAGAAGACGCTGGTGCCGTCGCTGTTGCCGTACAGGTCGGCCAGCTTTTTGAAGCGCGGTCCCCAGTTGCTGAGATAGTCATAGTTCTGATCTGAGTCTGTACTTAGTGACTCCAGTGAGCTCAGTGACTCCGCTACCGAGCCGCTGCCTTCAAAAGCATAAGTCTGCAGGGAGTCGTACGGGGGAGCCGACGGGTCCACATCAGCATCCTTGAGCCGCTCCCAGATAAACTCTCGGAACACCACATTGTCTGGCAGGGATTTATAAGACGGGCGAGTGGCCGATGAGTAATGGAAGAAGGTCGGTGTGTCTGGTGTGACGTCTCTCCGTACACTGGGGTCTCTGATGACGTTCAGGTTGCGGAGGGTGACCATGTCGAAGGCCTCCGTGTCCTCCTCTCCGCCGCCCTCGTCGTCATAACGGACGATGTTCTCCCTGATGTCCCGCTCCTCCTCGAGGATCAGAGGCTCCTTCCTCCTCCGACGCATCGTCACAATGAGCAGAACCATCACTGCGGAGACAGAGAGAGACGTGAGTCAATATCCACTGACAATGGACCAACAGTTAAAAAAGTGAAAAACAAACGATGAGCAGTTAAATGATTGGTGAAAAAGTAATAATAGTTAAAATGGTAAAAAAATAACAATGGACGAACAGTTAAACAAGTAGAAAACGATGGATTAACAGTTAAAAAAATTAAAAACGATGGATTAACAGTTAAAAAAATTAAAAACGATGGATTAACAGTTAAAAAAATTAAAAACGATGGATTAACAGTTCAAAAAGTGGAGACCAAAGGAAGAGCAATTAAATAATTGGTTAAAAGTAAAGATTTAATAGTTAAAATGGTAAAAAAATCGATGGACTTACAGTTAAAATAGTT